GGGAATAACAGATTGAGGGGAGATCATTTTGGGAATAACAGATTGAGGGAGAGATCATTTTGGGAATAACAGATTGAGGGAGAGGGAGAGGGATCATTTTGGGAATAACAGATTGAGGGAGATATCATTTTGGGAATAACAGATGAGGGAGAGATCATTTTCGGAAAACACATTTTGGACAAAGCTTTTTGGGAATAACAGATTGAGGGAGAGATCATTTTGGGAATAACAGATTGAGGGAGAGATCATTTTGGGAATAACAGATTGAGGGAGAGATCATTTTGGGAATAACAGATTGAGGGAGATATCATTTTGGGAATAACAGATTGAGGGAGAGATCATTTTGGGAAGAACAGATTGAGGGAGATATCATTTTGGGAATAACAGAGTGAGGGAGATATCATTTTGGGAATAACAGAGTGAGGGAGATATCATTTTGGGAATAACAGATTGAGGGAGATATCATTTTGGGAATAACAGATTGAGGGAGAGATCATTTTGGGAATAACAGATTGAGGGAGAGATCATTTTGGGAATAACAGAGTGAGGGAGATATCATTTTGGGAATAACAGATTGAGGGAGATATCATTTTGGGAATAACAGAGTGAGGGAGATATCATTTTGGGAATAACAGAGTGAGGGAGATATCATTTTGGGAATAACAGAGTGAGGGAGATATCATTTTGGGAATAACAGATTGAGGGGGAGATCATTTTGGGAATAACAGATTGAGGGAGAGATCATTTTGGGAATAACAGATTGAGGGAGAGATCATTTTGAGTCTGTTTTTTTCTATATACATTCAGGGTTATTGCAGTGAAAAAAAAACATGAATAATAACGCGCATTCTACAATTAAAACCCAAAACGATTAGCACAAAAAAATTAAATAAGTCTTCTCAAACTTAAGTTGTTTTTCAGCATGAAAGATGACATTTCCAATGGTTTATTTTGGAGACTTGTGTATTTCCAAAGTCAATTTCTGTTTTCAAAACACTCTTCTGTAAGAAAGGTATGTTTTATTATCAGACCGAATTATTGTCATTGTTGTCTTAACAGTGAGATTTTAGGGTATCGATATTCTGTCTTAAATGCCGAACTCTTGTTAAAATTGTATACAATTGTTACTTTTTGTACTTACATCATATCTACCTCATAAACACAACTTGTAAGTATAATATAGGACCAGTTTCATCCTCTCTACCTGACCCTTGTCCACTAACGATCTTCAGATATAACTTGCATCGTGACAGAGAAATCATCACCATGGTGACTATAACAAGGTTCATCAACGACATCTCTGGACGTTGTAGCTATCACGTGATTAACATAATTAATTATCGAGCCAATGGCGACACTAAAGTCAGGAACATTGAAATACATTTCTTATTTCGAAATAGAAAATTCACACTGGTCAAAAGAATTATCTCGATTGTCATACAGTTAAGTAAAAAACGATTTTATTCGTTGTATCGTAAACAAAGACCGTGGTCAACAGTTTATGTAAACGATTCTGCCGTGTCCTTCATTTCTAATTCAGTTTGATATATAGGATGGGCTTTGTCAGCAAAGTTCTTGACAATACAGACAATACATTGTTAATATACATATATATCAACGTGAAAGTTAAAGACATGTCTAAGGGCTGATTTTAATGAGGATATTTTTTACAATTAAACAGACTTGTATGACCTGTACATCCGGTTTGTGTGTTTATTTCCGGAGTGTAGCCTTTACGTAATGTGACATTTATCATTTATCATACAGTTTATCATGCTCTGTCTCCAAGTATCAAAACAATAAAATAGTTAACATTGGATCTAGATAAGTTTGTGATATAATAAGATATTTTAATGTGGAATTTCCGCCCTCCAATGGGCAACGAAGAACACAGTAAGGTAACTATCGTTCGCATTTATGTCTCGATCGAACGGACGCTTGTCTTGTCTTTACTTAAATCATATCGTGTCCAAACAGATCAAAGAGCAGAGTTAACAAAGATGTCAGATTATGAATATGTATATATATTATATTGAATATATAATTACACAACAAGAAAGAAATAGTTGCTTTTTATATAAAAATATTACAATACTATGATTATGTAGTATGTTAAGTCCCCAATGTTTACCGTAACCTGCTCGTCACGTTTTAATTTACACGAATAGTAGGACGGTTCAGAACATACACACTCAGTAACTGTTTTCTAAAATCATCAGATATATGAAATTTACGAAATTCCCTGAATTATTGGGCTAAACCCTCCCCCGTCTAGATTTCTTTCGAACACTTTGGTTTTTCCTCAGTTGCCTCCTAGGTTTACAATTTAGGTCATAAAGGACATCATTGTAAAGGACGAGACCATTGTACAAGGACAGAAATAAGACAAAGTCATTGTAAAGGACAGAAATAAGACAAAGTCACAGCAAGGACAGAAATAAGACAAAGTCATTGTAAAGGACAGAAATAAGACAAAGTCATTGTAAAGGACAGAAATAAGACAAAGTCATTGTAAAGGACAGAAATAAGACAAAGAAATAAGACAAAAAGGACAGAAATAAGACAAAGTCACAGTAAAGGACAGAAATAAGACAAAGTCATTGTAAAGGAAAGAAATAAGACAAAGTCACAGCAAGGACAGAAATAAGACAAAGTCATTGTAAAGGACAGAAATAAGACAAAGTCATTGTAAAGGACAGAAATAAGACAAAGTCACAGTAAAGGACAGAAATAAGACAAAGTCATTGTAAAGAACAGAAATAAGACAAAGTCATTGTAAAGGACAGAAATAAGACAAAGTCATTGTAAAGGACAGAAATAAGACAAAGTCATTGTAAAGGACAGAAATAAGACAAAGTCATTGTAAAGGAAGAAATAAGACAAAGTCACAGAAATAAGACAAAGTCATTGTATAGTACAGAAATTTTACTTAGTTATAAGACAAAGTCATTGTAAAGGAAAGAAATAAGACAAAGTCACAGCAAGGACAGAAATAAGACAAAGTCATTGTAAAGGACAGAAATAAGACAAAGTCATTGTAAAGGACAGAAATAAGACAAAGTCATTGTAAAGGACAGAAATAAGACAAAGTCATTGTAAAGGACAAAAATAAGACAAAGTCATTGTAAAGGACAGAAATAAGACAAAGTCATTGTAAAGGACAGAAATAAGACAAAGTCATTGTAAAGGACAGAAATAAGACAAAGTCATTGTAAAGGACAGAAATAAGACAAAGTCATTGTAAAGGACAGAAATAAGACAAAGTCATAAAGGACAGAAATAAGACAGTCATTGTAAAGGAAGTCATTGTAAAGGACAGAAATAAGACAAAGTCATTGTAAAGGACAGAAATAAGACAAAGTCATTGTACAGAAATAAGACAAAGTCATTGTAAAGGAAAGAAATAAAGGACAGAAATAAGAGTCAATATTTGGCTAAGACAAAGTATTGTATCTTATCAAAGTTTGTATTAAAACAGAAATAAGACAAAGTGTTGTTGACTTGTGTGTCCTTTGTACAATGTGTTTGTTTGGTGTTATAACAAAATCTGTATTACTATATATTAGTATTATATTGTTAGATTTATACTTATTAATTATATTCTATTATATACTTGTAATAATGTATTACAATGTTATATAATGTTTAAAGACTGTCAATAAGACAAAGTCAAATAAGACAAAGTCACAGCAAGGACAGAAATAAGACAAAGTCATTGTAAAGGACAGAAATAAGACAAAGTCATTGTAAAGGACAGAAATAAGACAAAGTCACAGTAAAGGACAGAAATAAGACAAAGTCATTGTAAAGGAAAGAAATAAGAAACATTGTAAAGAAGTAAGACAATTAAAACAAACAGTCATTGTAAGGACAGAAATAAGACAAAGTCACACTTTTACATTACACACAAAGTAAGACAAAGTCATTGTAAAGGACAGAAATAAGAAAAGTCACTGTAAAGGACAGAAATCACACAAAGTCACTGTAAAGGACAGAAATAAGACAAAGGACAGAAATAAGACAAAGTCATTGTAAAGGACAGAAATAAGACAAAGTCATTGTAAAGGACAGAAATAAGACAAAGTCATTGTAAAGGACAGAAATAAGACAAAGTCATTGTAAAGGACAGAAATAAGACAAAGTCATTGTAAAGGACAGAAATAAGACAAAGTCACAGTAAAGGACAGAAATAAGACAAAGTCACAATAAAGGACTGAAATCAGACAAAGTCACAGTAACGAACAGAAATAAGACTTAAAGGCTTAGGTGTGGTAACATTCGGTAGCTCTTTACTATCGTTACGTTACGTGTTAGTGTATACATGTATATATAAAAATTTAGTTGACCTGCCCGGACCGTGTACCTGGACACATGACAGGTGTATCTAGGCAGTGTGAGTGATGTACGTAGGAGCTAAAGGTAGATATGTATCGTTAACAGATACAATCATCAACATGCCTCGCTTTACTACACACTGCACGTAGCTGACATTAAAAACCTACTTCGGTGACTATAAGACAAGGCAACTGCGTTGGAGTATCAAACGTGTCGTGTACCTGGACGAGCGAGCGTCGTTGGTGTTCAAAGTTAAGGACAAAAGCTTTAGGCCTCCCGCTGTTGGCCGAGACTGTGTATTTTCAGTCACGTTTTTGTGAGAAGACTAAAGGGACTATACAACACTAGTGAAATGTTATTGCTGGGATATTAATGTTTTTGTTTGAAGATTCTGGAAAATTCTTTTGCGAGCTACATTCTAACTAAATGCTAAAGGTGCATTTTAATTTTTGTGTACTTATCTAGAAAACTTTTCAACGGTTTTAAACTTTAAAGTTCTTTTGCGGTGAAATTCGACAACCTGTGGCAAAGCATATTAAAAGAAACAAGTTTTACTGAAATTATCATCTTGAAAGGATTTCATGAAAAATCAACTGGATAATAATATTCTTGTGCGGACAGATATTTAGCAAATTTGTTTTTGGACTTTCAGTCAAACATCATCCATGTTAACGACGATGTCGGTTGTTGTTGCTAAGCCGATGTCAAGGTCGTACGCACTTGCTTCAGCTGCTGGCATCACAGAATCAGAACTGAACACGAGAGACGCTAACGGACGTACAGTCCTCTTCTACGCTTCCAGAAACGGAAAAACACAAGTTGTTAAAAACTTACTCAATGCCGGAAGTGATCCTAATATACCGGATGTGGAAGGCAGTACCCCATTACATGAAGCAACAGAGAGATGTCACCTTGACATCGTCAAAATTCTTTTAAAAAATGGTATGTATGGCATTGCCATGATTGTGGTGTTTTAGCTAAAATTTCTTGTCGTTCTTTGTTGGTATGCTATTGAACGATAACCTGGGGAATTAAGGGCTCAACACACAGCTCATTATCCCTTTCTCGATAATTAGAATCCTCAGCATCGCCTATTCCATCAGAGACTGACTGGAGATCATGTTCACGAAAGGATTCCCCATATAAGAACGGGAACAAAACACATTAGATCGGGAAACATAGAAAATTCTATTGAAAGTACACATCCACTTTACAAAGAGTCACGTGGTCTTGTTAGTTTATCTAATTAATGTACAAGCTCGAAGTAAAATCTTACTTCGGTTTGATTGGTGGATTACTGTGAATTAATTATCATATATTAAACAGAATTTTTGATATTATGACTTTATTTAGAACGTTGTTGACTCGTCAGTCTCGCTAATCAACTTACATAAAACAGAATGCAAAAGGTAAGGTTGGTCGGGTTGTCGGGTAGTAACAGACCTGGCTTTCACCAAGACGTCCGGAGTATGATTCCCGTGACAGACGTGGGAAGGTCTCCTGTGCGACCACGTGGGTATTCCTAGGTACTCCTGATTCTTCCCTCAGTTAGACTCCTTGCGTGCTTCTATCCAACATGAGTGATTAATAATTTTGGAAAAAAACACTTGTTTCACAATAAGAATAAATAGATACACACATCATCCGTCAACGTCGTCACAATCATATCAAAATATCTCCAGGATGTTGAACTGAAGAAACAGCCAAAGACATGCGTCATCTTTCCTGTTACGTTCTTAAAAGGACATTTTTAGTATTTTGTGTTTATTCGTGTTTGAGAAAAGTCATTTTTGTAGTTCAGGTGCTATTTATGCTACATCCAAGTAACATGAACAAAAAAAGACAATTGGGTGAAATCTTTAGATTTACACGATGTCAGTCGTCTGTATGATAACTCCACAACTGACACACCATTCACCCAGTCATAACTTTACTGTAACTGATGCTGAAACAGTCCAAGACTTTTGTGAAGACTTTTTAATGCGAACAGCGAGTGTCTTGTATTGAAGACTCTAATGCAGTGTACAATGAGTATTCAATTCCTTTTCAATTCCTAAACATGGTATTTTGATTCTGTCGTATACGAGTAGAAATTTGATTATCTTTATGTGTGTAAACAAGGTCATTAGACATGGTACTGTCCCGTCCGATAGATTGTCAAACTTCCAAATTTTCCGGTTTTTACCTGTTCGGGTTATAGTCTCATAAATCAAATCTCGGGTTACATATTGTAAGCGAAGTCCTTTCTGTGCAAACGCTTAACGAAACACTATATACATGTATAGCATGTATAGACCGTTTGTTTGTTTTTTTGTTTACTGTTTTCATCATTATGCCAAAGTTGTTCGTTAATGAAATAAGGACAGACCAACGTTGATTGTGTTTTGCTTTCCGAGGAACCTTGACAAATATGGGCCTAAATTTCAAAACACGAACAAAACAATCACGTTTGATACCGGAAACATTCAGAATAAACACGACCAGAAGATTTGTCCGCTTAAATCAATATGTTCCGGATCTTGTATTCGTTCTGATATAGGAAAACTGTCCTTAAAAAATATTTCGTCATTTAAGAAAATTGCCCTTAACAGAGTTATGTCCCCTTTCTATCTACCATTATATCATCATGTATATATATATATAAGCCACAGTTATAAAAATGTCGATGAAAATTGCATCAGACGGCGTAATCGTTTCTTTTTAATTTTTTTTTTTTTTTTTACTTTTTAAATTTTTTTCCCGTATTTTTTGCAAAAGTTTGGAAAAGACATCTGGAATGATGTAAACAGAAAACCAATTTACATTTTATTTTTCGTGACATGAAATCAAACACATGACATATATAGATTTTTATGTACATCTGCTGCGTAAATAGTGAATATGCAATACACTGAGTAAGTAATGTTAAATTTGATCCTAGACAAATACATTTTATATAACTTCCCACAATACTGATTATTTTGACACGTTTTCCCGACAAATGAATCCGCACATCATCCTTTTTCTGTGTTTTTAAATGTTCATTAATCAAATATGTATGCAATTATGAGAAATCAAGTCACTTTCCATGACCCCATTTTAATTTACATGTCTCATTTAAATCGTTATGACACTTTGAAAAACAAAATTAATTTTACCTGTATCACACGCAAATTAAACAACCGGCCTCAAGACAAATGCACATTGTACTATTAAACAGCAGTAGAACGTGCAGCGCTGACTGATTAACATCCAAGTCTCATCAATCATTATACTGCGTCATATACAGTAAAAGACTGTTTACAAACTTGTTATTTGGTAGTCAGAAATGTCACTTGTCCAACACAATAATTACCCGTCCGTCTCCGGAATTTATTTCCGGAATCAAATACAGCGGCTATATATCAGTCTCTTGTGTCTTTGAAGTGATGTGTCCTGCTGCAGATGGTTTATAATATCCTGTGAAATTAATTTATTCATGTAAACATGAGGTTTTCAGACCAGCCAAGTCAAAAGGCCTAAAGGAACATGTTGTAACCAGGAGACGGTATCAAAACACATATTATAGCGATCTATTCGGTGATAAATCGTAGTGATAAGATAGAATATACCATTGTGTAGCAGAGAATACTGTAAACTTCGTATAACAGACACCATCATCCACAAGGTCTTGGCATTGTGGTCTGAATACGGAGCTACTGAACTAAAATGAATAAGAGTTGAGGTCTAGAACATAACAAAATAGTTGGCTTTATACGGTCAACAATTATTTCTTTAAACGTTGAATGTTCTGGTTATAAGTTTGGATTTCATTTCTATAGTCGATCCTGCAACATTAATGTGATTTTTTTTTCAGATAAAACTGAAATAAATGCGAAGAACAGAAACGGACAAACTGCCCTAATGAAATCAGTACTATATGACGACGTAGATGCTCTCAAAATACTACACAAAGCCGGTAAGTACACAACAATTGATGACGTAGTCACTTAGGATACAACACAAATCTGGGAAAGTACACCAGTACACAACAAATGTTGCACTAAATGACGTTGTTGTGTTGACGAGGACTTAAGATTACCGTGTTGTCCTGTATGTCTGTGATGGAGAGGTGTTAAGACTACCGTGTTGTCCGGTATGTCTGTGATGGAGATGTGTTAAGACTACCGTGTTGTCCTGTATGTCTGTGATGGAGAGGTGTTAAGACTACCGTGTTGTCATGTATGTCTGTGATGGAGAGGTGTTAAGACTACCGTGTTGTCCGGTATGTCTGTGATGGAGATGTGTTAAGACTACCGTGTTGTCCTGTATGTCCTCCGGTATGTCTGTGATGGAGATGTGTTAAGACTACCGTGTTGTCCTGTATGTCTGTGATGGAGAGGTGTTAAGACTACCGTGTTGTCCTGTATGTCTGTGATGGAGAGGTGTTAAGACTACCGTGTTGTCCTGTATGTCTGTGATGGAGAGGTGTTAAGACTACCGTGTTGTCCTGTATGTCTGTAATGGAGAGGTGTTAAGACTACCGTGTTGTCATGTATGCCTGTGTTGTGATGGAGAGGTGTTAAGACTACCGTGCTGTTGTTACATCTTAAAGAACTACCGTTTACCCATGTAAGACCTATATTCCATAGTAAGGAAAGACCGCTGTGTGGTCCTGTATGAAGATTTAAGAAAGGAAATGAAATTCATGTCTGAATAATTGTTAAGTTAAAATAACGCTCTAGTTTGTCAAGGAAGTAGTTACCCTGACAGGATTAAACCATTACGTCGGACAGAAACATATGTCGACTGTGTAATTATTACTTCTGCTATACATTAAACTGTTAATAATCGTTTACTTTAATGTAACTTTTCAACTACTTAATTGTTTCTCAGACACGGTAATGATGATAAATACTGGATTTATATTCAACGGTGTCTTCTGAGTGTTGAGAGAGACGTCCATCATGAGATGATGAACATTTACGCTTCACAGAAACACTGCTCTTTACTTATAGAGACAAGTTCTTCGTGACACGTCAGGCTATTTCTGTCGCTGCTGTAGGGAGCTTAAATCTTTTTTCTTTCACATTTCTGCTGAAAGAACCTATACATCATATATACATTAAACAGTTACAAGTTTGTCTGTCTGTCTGCCTGTCCGTCCGCTCGTCTGTATGTCAATATATTAGGGCTGGAATCTGGGTCGGGAAGGACGCTGAGGGAGGCGTGACAAAGTGTAACACCAGTAGGGGATAGTCTGGTATTTTATACTATCGAAAAATGGTCATTGTTTTGTTTGATTTCAACATACTTCATTTGTCATTAAAAACGTGTTCAGACACAATTTCTTCCGACGTAAAATGGATTTCTGACTCCATTGAAGAAACAAATCTAAAGATGAATGATCTGGTTACTTTTAAACAGATAGAATCAAAATAAAGGGATTCAGGGATTCAGAAAGGAAAAAATGATAAAGAGAATGGATGATGGGAAAACGAAAAAATAATAAAGACTTGACTATTGGTGTCCAATTTCAATAAACCTAAAGAAGTGAACATATGTTGTTTTTCTGGGTCTCTTATCACCTTTATGTCGATATCGTTGGATAAAGTCCAGACTGGTTGCTATGGTAACATTAGTTTATAAATATCAATGATATTGATGAAGTTCGAATTATAAAGGAAACTTCACTAGTCTGCATCTTATATACTTTTTTGGAAAACTTTTACACTTCCGGTCTTAAACGTCATAGAAACCGTCACTACACACGTAAGACATATAAAAAGTAATTTAAAAAGTCAAAATGTAACGTTACACGTATATTGGGTGAAATTCTCGCACGAACGACCAACATATACTATGATACACCTGTGAAACTGTGACAGACTGGGTCACTTGAGTGACCCCTGAATTGTAATGAAGCTCTTCAAGCGCACCTGTCTCCCAGATTTTTTTTTTTTATTATTATTATTTTACATAAGAAATGTCTAGTGTCTTTATCATGTTGAAATTGGAGAAAGCTGACCGTTACGATTTCATATGTTAAGGAGTGACGGGAAGTTTTGAACCGTGACGGGGAAGGTCATATTTTGTCAAATGCACCTGACAGTCCATGAATGAAATGTTAATGTAACAAATGCTAAATGGAAAAAAGTACAAACCACAAAAGTGTAACGCTGTGCAGAAAGGAAGCATAAATATTTCAAATATGTGCGGCGGTTATTGATTGTGTCTAAGGAGGAATGTAGAACGATGTTTGTAAAGGAAGATTCTACGCAATGCTAAGTTTATTCAGATAAAATATGGATAGAGGAGATGTATACATATCATGGCATATACCTAAAGACACAAGATTCTGTCAATGTGACCTGTTGTCATGGCAACTTATTAATAATATACAACTTTGTGACTGTATACTTTTGTTGTCATGGTAACTTATTAATAATATACAACTTTGTGTACTTCTGTATACTTTTGTATACTGTAAGGTCGTTAAATTTCGCGGGGATTTATTTTGTATACTGTAAGGTCGTTAAATTTCGCGGGGATTTATTTTGTATACTGTAAGGTCGTTAAATTTCGCGGGGATTTATTTTGTATACTGTAAGGTCGTTAAATTTCGTGGGGATTTATTTTCGATGTTATCTAGGATGAACTTAGTTCAGAATTCATACGCCCGTGAACTGTTCAAATTAATATAACAAGAGTTATTGAGATATTTCTTTTCGCAAAACTAAATATTTGTGAAAAACCAAATTTTGGGGGAAAACACGAGAATTAATCCGCACGAAAGTATATGATTTTAAAGTATACTAGAATAGTTAGTATATATGAAGAAACTTAGTTACCAACTCCAACAGAAATACTGAGAAAAGATGAAATTAATATATCACGGTCTCGCCCAAATTACTTCCACTGTGTGAATTATTCATGAAGACTCGTTTGTTAGTTTTGACATTTAAAGGCTAATTAGTTTTCATCATCTTTAACATTTGACTCTCAGTATGTCACACGATTACATCATGGATTCCGTCAGCGACCGGACATTTGAACAGCGTTTTTGCTCGATCAGCGTTTGTTTCCTGTTTCACACAATATCTGCTTTCACAAATGAATACAATTTGAAGTTGATATGTCTTATAGACCCCAGGTGTTTATTTACACTATAAATGCCCATACCAAATAAACGTCAGATTTTTAATGGTTATGTGAAAAGGTGAAATTCATTACCTATACTTACTTACATCATGTATTACTATTTAGATCAATAAAAACAAACATTACTTTTAAAGATGTCATATTATATTGTTTAAGGGAAAAACCAATACATTGATGTTTTTATTGATAATAAAGCGTTTCTGTCTGACAACTGGGGCGATGAGGTAAATATTTTACACAATTTGTGGAATTTGTTTTAAAAAGAGGCTTTACATGTTGTAAAATCATTTGATTTATTGAGCAATGAAAAAGTCAAAAAACAAAGTCTGTCCAATTGATCGATTCTTCCTATAAATAGCAATTAACGTCATAATTTGACTTATTCGTAATATACTCCGTAATTGCTCACGTGACCTACTTTTTGACCCTAGATATATGTTTCTGACAAAACGTTGTTTTCTTACATGCAACTTTAGTCATTTTTTAAAATAGTGCAGCGAGTAAATTATCTAGCTGCACAAACCGACATCGTCACTGCTACAGACTCCAACAACAATGACGTATTATTAATACAGAGGTCAACCAAATTTGTCCTGTTGACAACATAACTTCGTCCCAACTCGTCCGAAAGGGGGATGTTACCTGTGTTTATCAGAAATTGGCTACAGATATAAAAAGTCTGACAGAGAAAGTGTCATTACCTGTTGCCTGTTGTAGTTCAATAGTGGCGAGGGTCGGTCAGCTAGGACACGACGAGAGGGAGAGGGGGGAGGGGGTGATGTACATGTATAAATGTTTGATTTTTGTGACCAGACTTGCCCATATACAAACATCGTTCGGTACAAACAAGACAGTAAATATACCATATATGTAATTATTATTGATATCCATGATCGATATTGTTGACGCGATCGATCACTGTCGTGTTCTGTTTGACAATGTAATGACGGGCCCCCGGGAGCTCTCTCTGATCTAGACAGTAAACCTTACACTGGGTATGAATCTCCGTGTTTTATAATCATACATTGTATCGAGACACACCCTAACCTTTGTGATTTATAAGTGGAACATCCATCTTTATCGAGTTCTAAGAATATTCGGAATTTTTCGTCACATAATTATATGTTAATTAAACACGGGAGTATTGTAATTCTTTCTGACCGATATATTACACGAGACAGGACCTACAATAAAAATTATCTCACTGAACGACTTTCTGAAATTATTAAAACTGAGATAGATTAACAAGCTGTGTAGTCAACAGTTTTCAGTTTTCTTAGACTACATAAAATTTTGAAACTATTTTTAAATATTAAAGATTTGATAGTTTATAATAAAACGTTCCCCGGATGTGTATGTGAATATGGATCTCAATATTGAAACAGAATGGTATTCGTGTTTTAACACTCACTAAGCTTATTGTCAGTAATGAAGATGATAAGAATCATGTTTTCCTAACAGCTGGCTAAAGTGAGTTTTGTAAATCAAAGTATACTAAACCTATGCGGCAAACCGTTTTTTCTGACTATTTTTTGCACGTCCGAATCCGACGATAGACACTGAATAAAAATAATTACACATGGATTTCACCAACATCTAAAAGTTCATTCCTGAATCTAAACCATTATACCCAACTGATGACGCTACAAGTCTCCTGAAATAATATTATAAACAATATTTAAAATATCTGAAGATGTTTGAAAAGATCTTTGATATCTTTGAGGTACATCAACTTTATCTTTTGATGAAAATGAAATTAAAAAGGACAATTTCAGTAAATTCAGCGACAATTAAGGGAGTCACACAAAGTCATTAATCCGATCGTTTAATTATTTTATAGAGTTCCAAGTGGGTTTGGTCCATGAGTGGCGAATGTCGATGTATACCTACCAATTAAACTGTTTTAATGATATCATAGTGTAACAGGGTCCAGTCACCATGATGACCACAGTGTTGTTCTCAACAGACGCAAATACGATTTATTTTCTCTCGGCCAGATAACACATATATAAAGCTTGTCTATACATTGTCTAATACACAAGGGGCTTTGTTTATTTTGTACCTCTGTTTTTTTGTTTTTTGTTTTTTGTTTTAATTTTTTTTGTTTGTTTGTTTGTTTTTGGTTTTTTTTTCTTATTTCTATTTCTATATCATCTTTTGAGTTTCCTATCATTAAACACTCAGAAGTAAAACTTTAATTCTAAATATAGAAAAAAAAGTACATAAAAGTTCAACAAGTATGTAGTACAGTTTCGGAATAGTTTATATTCCTCATTACACCTGCTCGAGCACACCTGTGCGGTTGGTAGAAGGGGTCGCGTTCCAAATTACTCCGGGACCAAAATAAACACTTAGTACATAGACTCTGCCATGAATGACGGAATGAGGGATACGACCTGTTGATCATCATAACCTAAACATTCAGATCTGACCCGCATAAAATGACATGAAAAATGTTTACATAGCAAATAACATATGTCTTTTCTGTCTGATATGTGATATTCTTGTCCTTAGTCCTTTCCGGAAGTGTTTATGATATTATCTGACACATTCGGAGAGTCATGTCGTTTGTCTGTAAATACGGCATTTTCCTCCACAGTTAACATTCAATTATGATTAATGACAATTTATGTAGTATCAACACCAGGTATAAACGATGTACAGTTTCAAACATCTGGTATAAAAAAAACAAAACACTTCATCTAGTGTTCCGGTATAAAAAAAACCACTTCATCTAGTGTTCCAGTATAAAAAAATGACTTCATTTAGTGACAACATCAGGTAAAAGCGTAACTTTTTGTAGTTTCAACATCAGACATAAAGGACGCTTTTTATAGGGTCAACTTCCGGTAGAAAGGACAATTTCGTTAGTGCTAATTTCCGGTATAAAGGACACTTTCGATAGTGTCAACTTCCGGTATAAATATAAATACAGTATAGGTGTAAATATTCGTTATAAGGACATCCTTAACTGATATAAAACTATACAGGACACGTTGACATATACATATTTAGACCAAATTAGTGAAGGTGACGACATAACGTTGATCGAACGTACATAGCAGGTCAGTCATACGTAACACAAGTTACAATACGAATGCAGCCACATCTAACATTTATATATTGTTTTATATAACTCAGGTGGACTCATTGACGAATTGGATTCTACGGGTAAAACAGCCTTCATGATTGCCATGGCGGACGGTAGGGAGCGCACTTCCGATTATCTCATTAAAAACGGATGTGACGTCAATATTGTTGACAAACTGGGTCAAACTGCTCTTTATTTAGCGTTTACATCAACACATGGAATGTCAACAGAAAATATTCGACGACTGTTGAAAGCCGGTAAGTTGTGACGTAGATGTTTATACGTGGATAGCTGAAGTAAGACTATTGCAGTTAGTTGGAGTCTTGTCATTTTAGTACAACACTTCAACTACTTTGTCAATTTAGATAATACAGTGGTTACGTTCGGTAGAAATTATCTCAAATTTCCGTACTGAAAGGTGCCAAATAAACTCTAAATATTATCTTGTGATTGTTTTTCAGGTTACGAAACAGACAAGGACCGGGCATGGCTCGCTAAGGCGGGAATGGAACTGAACGCATTCCAACAGAAAAATTTCTTCCAGAGAATTAAAGCTCGTATCACGACACCTTCCGGTCGACGTCACAGTGAAGGAATTCTGGGAGGGAGTACGATACCGTTGGGTAGCGGAGTCAATCACGCGCATCCGCGTTTCCGCTTCCGGAACAATTCTTCCTTTAATTAAAACTGCACACAAGACTGGGCGATGGAAATAAAACTGAATATTTATCAATAATGTTGTGGACTATTACGCAAACAGAGTAGAAATGATAAAGTTAAAACGTATTATATAACAAACTAACAGAAAGAATGTTAGAATTCACGAACCTTGTAGAGCTTGTAGCAAAGGGGTTGGTTGGTCTGCATAAAATCTGTTTAACGATTTAAAGAAATATTCTGTGGAAAAACCTGACATGTTTGTCAAACTTTATCAGCTAGAAATATCTTCAGCAATTTCTTTCATTTTAAAGTGAGTACATGATGACAATGCCGGGAACTGAGCAATACCTCCGCGTTGTCGGAACGCTTCTTCAAAATCGTATTTTCCGAGTTCCATATTGACCAAAGAAACCTAATTTGTTGGAACATCCTAATGAATGAGACACGTCCGAATGCTGTTATTGACACAATGTAATGCACGTATCGAACGGATTAATCACGTGATTACACGGGAGAAGTGCTGTTTGACAGATCGAACACTTAAGATATTGGGACTGAAACAGATTAAGTACCTTACTTTATAGAGGTCATCCTGTGTATATATAAATCATCGATCATACGGAATCTTCAGTCTTTGAAAAAACTTTTTATCACATATTTATTTTTTCATTATCTGATGTTTTTGATATTTTTATCGTTTGCGGTTTTGGATATCCTGCAATTACAAATTAAAAATTTTATAAGGTAAATGAGTTATAGCGTCAAATGATAAATGCATGAAGAAATTATAAAATAGGCTTCTAAATATGAAAATATTAAATAAAAAAAAACGTGCTAAAAGAAAAACCTGATGATAACGGATAATAGGGATGTTGATGTAGAGACTGAAGTTCCGGTCTACAATTGTCATGTGAACATTATTTAATTATGTGGCTGGTCCAAATCTATGATACATTATTTAAGCCGTTCTGCATTATGTAAGGTGTTACATGTAGTACATTCTTATATGTTGAATAATGTGTAAGAGTTATCCCCCTTACACTGGCATTTTGAAATGAATTAATTTTCATATTGTTACGTTCAAAATAAACATTTGTTAACAACATTGCTTTGAATTTTCATTAATATGTGAAAATGTTATCATATAATTGTATTCAATTGTTCATTATGTTTTACAACATCAATCCGTACATCTACCGCCATACAGACCTTCAAACGAATATCATAATGAGAGGAGGGGAGAGGGTGGGGTGGAAAAGGCAGTGTTTGTAAAGCTGAAGAGATTGCGAGACGGTAAAGTGAGAGTGGAGAAGGCGAGATAGTAAGACGTAGCGGGGAAAGCGAAACGGTAAGGTAGCGAAGAAGGGGCGAGGCGGTAAAGTGATGGTGGAGAAGGTAAGATGGTAAGATGAGAGTTGAATGAGTGAAACCGTAAGATAGGATTGATGGAGAGGGCGAGGAGAGTGAGATAGTAAGACAAGGATGTGGAGAGTGAGACAGTAAGACAGGGATGAGGAGAATGGGACAGTAAGTCAGGGATGAGGAGAGTTAGACAGTAAGACAGGGATGGGGAGAGTGAGACAGTACGACAGGGATGAGGAGAGTGAGACAGTAAGACAGGGATAAGGAGAGTGAGACAGTAAGACAGGGATGAGGAGAGTGAGACAGTAAAATAGGGATAAGGAGAGTAAGACAGTAAGATAGGTATGATGAGAGTGAGACATTAAGACAAGGATGAGGAGAGAGAGACAGTAAGACAAGGATGAGGAGAGTGAGACAGAAAGACAGGGATGATGCGAGTGAGACCGTAAGACAAGGATGAGGAGAGAGAGACATTAAGACAAGAATGAGGAGAGTGAGACAGTAAGACAGGGATGAGGAGAGTGAGACAGTAAGATAGTGATTAGGAGAGTGAGACAGTAAGACATGGATGAGGAGAGTGAGACAAGAAGACATGGATGAGGAGAGTGGGACAGTAAGACATGGATGAGGAGACTGAGACACTAAGACAGGGATGAGGAGACTGAGACACTAAGACAAGGATGAAGAGAGTGAGACAGTAAGACAGGGATGAGGAGAGTGAGACAGTAAGACATGGATGAGGAGAGTGAGACAGTAAGACAGGGATGAAGAGAGTGAGACAGTACGACAGGGATAAGGAGAGTGAGACATGAAGACATGGATGAGGAGAGTGAGACAGTAAGACAAGGATGTGGAGAGTAAGACAGTAAAACTGGGATGAGGAGAGAGAGAGACAGTAAGACAGGGATGAAGAGAGTGAGACAGTAAGACAAGGATGAGGAGAGTGAGACAGTAAGACATGGATGAGGAGAGTGAGACAGTAAGACAGGGGTGAGGAGGGTAAGACAGTAAGATAGGGATGATGAGAGTGAGACAGTAAGACATGGATGAGGAGAGTGGGACAGTAAGACATGGATGAGGAGACTGAGACACTAAGACAGGGATGAGGAGAGTGAGACAGTAAGACAGGGATGAGGAGAGTGAGACAGTAAGACAAGGATGTGGAGAGTGAGGCAGTAAGACAAGGATGTGGAGAGTGAGACAGTAAGACAGGGATGAGGAGAGAGAGACAGTAAGACAGGGATGAGGAGAGTGAGACAGTACGACAGGGATGAGGAGAATGAGAAAGTACGACTGGGGTGAGGAGAGAGAGTAAGACAGGGATGAAGAGAGTGAGACAGTAAGACATGGATGAGGAGAGAGAGACAGTAAGACAGGGATGAGGAGAGAGAGACAGTAAGACAGGGATGAGGAGAGAGAGACAGTAAGACAGGGATGAAGATAGCGAGAGCGTAAGACAAGGATGAGGAGAGTGAGACAGTAAGACAGGAATGAAGAGAGTGAGACAGTAAGACATGGAATGAGGAGAATGACATAGTAAGCCAGGGATGAGGAGGGTAAGACAGTAAGATAGGGATGATGAGAGTGAGACAGTAAGACAGGGGTGAGGAGAGTGAGACAGTAAGACATGGATGAGGAGAGTGAGACAGTAAGACAGGAATGAGGAGAATGATATAGTAAGCCAGGGATGAGGAGGGTAAGACAGTAAGATAGGGATGATGAGAGAGAGACAGTAAGGCGGGGATGAAGAAATTGATGCGGTGAGAAGGGCGATATGGAGGACTCTGTTTTGGACCGTCCATTCCGATATTATTGCTGTTACAAAATGAGAAGTAAGTATGGTATTTAACAAAAATGGAACATCTTCGGAAGTAAGGAAATAGAATTAACGATACTTAAAAATCATATTCTTCTTTCTACTTTGTTTGAGATCACGACAAACTGACAGGTATTGGTGTACAGCTGTACACTCAGGTAAATTAAAGGTACACAAATGGATGATCTCGCGGAATGCTATAGAGTGGTCCTCACTACAAAAAGTCTCCATGAAATACAACCTTTAATTTTCTCAAATTTCAGTAAAATTATAAAATAACAAAATATACACAATAGGTTAAAAGACAGAAAATACTTCACCCTGTCATTCTGATAGTTAATAGTTTAAAAAACTTACTCTGAAAAGGAATTAGATTTTGTTGACGATATCATAAAGCTTGCCTGTCTGAGGGAAGTCGACACCAGATGTGTAATTAAAAGTCTTTCAAATGTTCCTTTTCAACAACCTGTAGAACGGACGTTTAAATCAGTGCGTTCATTTGTTAATACAGGGTATTTATATTTATCTACATATATACATGACACCTAGATAGCCTATAATCCTGCCGGAGGGGGCATGTCGAAGCGTCGTAATCGTCATGGGCAACCGTAGTAGTTGAAAGCGAGACCGGATTGAGAAGTACGGGTATATCGCCTATATCATTATACACCTTAAGGTAGAGAGAAATTTAACTGAAAACAAGACCTGTGATTTTCTCCATTCAACTGGAATTAAGGCAGGTTTTTATAAACTTGGAAAGCTGCTTAACGGCTCTCACACACAATACAAACGTTTTCTAGTTATAGGAGCCATCATCGTGCCCGTCTTTTCCGGTTTTGTGATTTTGATGACTACCTGACGATTGTAGAATGAAATGCTAAAAGTCCAGGATATTCTCCCGGATACAGGTATGTTGTGTCACCTTTCTGATAAAAGGTTTATAGCGAGATAACGTTAGCATTTGTCTATAATGTCTAATCTGGTTTACTATGATAAAGGAGAGTCTACAGACAGATACAAATCTCTGAAGATCCTGTCTGTCCTTTTTACATGGTCCCAAATTCAACAATATATAGATATAATATATGATAATGTAATATAGAATATAATAGATATGTTTCTATAAATAGAACAATAAGGGTATTTCGGGGTGTGTTACTCAGGACTTAAAATTCTTCTCAACAACAGATCATTGTTAAATCCGTTAATGAACACTAATTTGAAAGGTACGAAAGCTGAAAGCTTTATCACGTGACATCAATCAGAGAATGTTTCATTTGTAACATAAAACAATTATATCATTGGGTTCAAAAATATGATAAAATGTCAAATATGCGAAAACATGTGTAATATGTATTCTACGAAATATTTTGTTTTTGTATTTTATATCATATAATAAAAATTATAATTGCCACCCCGACATGGCTATCTGTACCAAGGAAATCGGGTTGTGTGTGAGACTAAGATAACATATACAGATTCTATAATAGTTTGGGATATACTTTGTGAAAGTATATAACTCAAGCACACAATGGTTTAGGGAAAGGATGTCCATTAGAAGTGCAAATCAGATTTAAGTCACGATAGACCACTATTTAAAACGGTATCGAGGAAGTATATATGTGGACGAGTACATATGTGTACAGTATACAAAGCTAGATTTCTTTTGATTTGTTATAAAGTAAATACATATTTAAACCGACCTCGCTGCCTGGCCCTGATTTATAAACCAGGATAGAATCACGTCTGTCCTACCTGTATTAGTCATAGCAGTGTTTTTGTTTCTACTGGAGAATTACTAGTGAAATCAATAGCACAGCACGGAGTAACACGACCATAAAAAATCG